ATAGACCAATAACAAGGTCTGAAGTTGAGGCAGCAATTAAGAGCCTACCTCACAAAAAAAGCCCAGGTCCAGATGGGTTCACAGCCGAATTCTACCAGACACACAAGGAGGAGCTGGTACCATTCCTTCTAAAACTATTTCAAACAATCCAAAAAGAGGGAATCCTTCCCAAATCATTTTATGAGACCAACATCATCCTGATACCAAAACCCGGCAGAGACCCAACGAGAAAAGAAAACTTCAGGCCAATATCCATGATGAACATAGATGCAAAAATCTTCAATAAAATATTGGCAAGCCGATTGCAACAGCAAATCAAAAAACTTATTCATCATGATCAAGTAGGATTCATCCCAGGGATGCAAGACTGGTTAAACATACGCAAGTCTATCAACGTAATTCACCACATAAACAGAACCAACAACAAAAACCACATGATTATCTCAATTGACGCAGAGAAGGCATTTGACAAAATTCAACAGCCCTTTATGCTAAAAACCCTCAATAAACTCGGTATCGATGGAACGTATCTCAAAGTAATAAAAGCTATTTATGACAAACCAACAGCCAATATCATACTGAATGGGCAAAAACTGGAAGCATTCCCTTTGAAATCTGGTACTAGACAAGGATGCCCTCTCTCACCACTCCTATTCAATATAGTACTGGAAGTTCTAGTCAGAGCAATCAGGCAAGAAAAAGAAATAAAGGGTATTCAAATAGGAAAGGTGGAAGCCAAATTGTCTCTATTTGCAGACGACATGATAGTATACCTAGAAGACCCCATCGCCTCAGCCCAAAAACTCCTGAAACTGATAAACAACTTCAGCAAAGTCTCAGGATATAAAATCAATGTGCAAAAATCACAAGCATTCGTCTACACCAATAACAGACTTAAAGAAAGCCAAATCAAGAGCGAACTGCCATTCGCAATTGCTACAAAAAGAATAAAATACCTTGGAATACAACTCACAAGGAACGTAAGGGACCTCTTCAAGGAGAACTACAAACCACTGCTCAACGAAATCAGAGAGGACACAAACAGATGGAGAAACATTCCATGTTCATGGTTAGGAAGAATTAATATCGTGAAAATGGCTATACTGCCCAAAGTAATTTACAGAATCAATGCTATCCCCATCAAGCTACCATTGACTTTCTTCACAGAACTGGAAAAAACCACCATGAACTTCATATGGAACCAAAAGAGAGCCCGCATAGGCAAGTCAATTCTAAGCAAAAAGAACACAGCGGGGGGCATCACACTACCGGATTTCAAACTATACTACAAGGCTACAGTAATCAAAACAGCATGGTACTGGTACCAAAACAGAGATATAGACCAATGGAACAAAACAGAGGCACCGGAGGCAACACAACATACATACAACTATACAATCTTTGATAAACCTGACAAAAACAAGCAATGGGGCAAGGATTCCATGTTTAACAAATGGTGTTGGGAAAACTGGCTAGCCATGTGCAGAAAGCAGAAACTGGACCCCTTCCTGACACCTTACACTAAAATTAACTCCAGATGGATTAAAGACTTAAACATAAGACCTGGCACCATAAAAACCCTAGAAGGAAATCTAGGCAAAACTATCCAGGACATAGGAGTAGGCAAGGACTTCATGAACAAAACACCAAGAGCATTGGCAACAAAAGCGAAAATAGACAAATGGGACCTAATGAAACTCCACAGCTTCTGCACGGCAAAAGAAACAGTCACTAGAGTGGATCGGCAACCAACAGAATGGGAAAAAATTTTCGCAGTCTACCCATCTGACAAAGGGCTGATATCCAGAATTTACAAACAACTCAAGCAGATTTACAGGAAAAAAACAAACAGGCCCATTCAAAAGTGGGCAAAGGATATGAACAGACACTTTACGAAAGAAGACATATATGAGGCCAACAATCATATGAAAAAATGCTCATCGTCACTGGTCATCAGAGAGATGCAAATCAAAACCACATTGAGATACCATCTCACGCCAGTTAGAATGGCGATCATTAAAAAATCTGGAGACAACAGATGCTGGAGAGGATGTGGAGAAAAAGGAACACTTTTACACTGTTGGTGGGAGTGTAAATTAGTTCAACCATTGTGGAAGACAGTGTGGCGATTCCTCAAGGCCTTAGAAATAGAAATTCCATTTGACCCAGCAATCCCATTACTGGGTATATATCCAAAAGACTATAAATCTTTCTACTATAAGGACACAGGTACACGAATGTTCATTGCAGCACTGTTTACAATAGCAAAGACCTGGAATCAACCCAAATGCCCATTGATAATAGACTGGATTGGAAAAATGTGGCACATATACACCATGGAATATTATGCAGCAATCAGAAATGATGAGGTCGTGTCGTTTGTAGGGACATGGATGAATCTGGAGAACGTCATCCTCAGCAAACTGACACAAGAACAGAAAATGAAACACCGCATATTCTCACTCATAGGTGGGTGATGAAAAATGAGAACACATGGACACAGAAAGGGGAGTACTAAACACTGGGGTCTATTGGGGGGAAAAGGGGAGGGCCAGTGGGAGGGGGAGGTGGGGAGGGATAGCCTGGGGAGAAATGCCAAATGTGGGTGAAGGGGAGAAGAAAAGCAAAGCACACTGCCATGTGTGTACCTACGCAACTGTCTTGCATGCTCTGCTCATGTACCCCAAAACCTATAATCCAATAAAAAATTAAAAAAAAAAAAAAAAAAGAGGAGTGCAGGGCACTATAGAGATGTGCCGAGGACCCTGTAGACTCACACCCAGTGGACTTAACTACCTAAGCCCAGCAGGCTTTCAGAAGACCCACACTCACAGCAGGAATGCCATTTCCTTATGTGATTTAAATTAAATTTTGTTGTTTAAGAAAATTAAACAACTTTAAATAAATATTTGAAAGGAAAAAGAAACTCATAATCCCCTTAACTGAATAGTCACAATGTCCAGTAAATTTTACAGCAACAGACATTTTCTGGGTGCCAGCAATGGGTCCAACACTGGATATTCAGAGATGATCAAATCACTGTCCTTGTCCTTGAGGAACCTACAGTCGAGTGCTGGGGGCTGAGGAGACAGACATATGCAAAGATAACTCAGGACTAAATGATAAGCACTATCAGGGTTCCATGGGCAGGTGCCCAGCCTAACTGGGGACGCAGGAAAGGGGCTTCCTAGAGAGGTATGCATAACCTGACTCATTCATTCATTTAGAGATGAGGTCCTGCTGTATTGCTCAGGCTAGTCTGAAACTTGTGGCCTCGTGATCCTCCTGCCTCAGCCTCCCAAAGCACTGTGATTACAGGTGTGAGCCATGGTGCCCAGCCACGACCTGACTCTTAAAGAACAAAGGAGACAGAAAAATTAGAGGAATGTCTAAGGCGGAGAGGAAATGGAATAGGCACAAGTGCAGAGTTTGATTTTATCAGGGATTAAGTCCTAAGAAGGAGGTGGATGGTGACACTGGAGGGGCAGCTACAGACTGGAACACAAAGGGCAGGAGATGTCCTACTAAGAAGCTTGAACTTTCTTTTGTTGGTGATGGGAGCTACTGAACAGACATTTTCCCTCCTTGGTGAGTGTCAAAAAAAAAAAAAAAAATGACCCTGAAGTCCAGGGCTATCTTGATAACATATAATGTATCCTGTGCTTTTCTAACATCTCATCCTTGCGCTTTGGTTCTCATTGGGCTGGTGGCTCACCAGGAGGTCAGGGAGTGCTGCAAACAGTCTGAGGAGCCACACTTAGATCATGACCATACCATGCAGACTCCCTCCTCTTCTTCAGCCTGAGACAGACGTGGCACCTGAGATGAGTTTCCGTTATTTGGCAGCATACAGGTAGAGCTGAAGGAGGCTGAGTTGGTCACCTTCAAAGCTATAGTCAGGAGCCAGAGGTCAACTGGATTTGCTTTCTGTACCATATGGTTGCTTATTAAGGAGAAGAGGTGGGGGCACATAGCTCTGAGGATGGCGGAGCCTGGGAGACAGGAGTTTGTTTTCTGTGACAAAACACTCTCAGGCACAGGGATGACTATGACAGCCACCTTGAGGCGGAACTGCAAAAGAAAGGACCCTGGGGCTGCAAAGGATGCCATGAGATCATCTCCTGAGCAAAGGCCCCTCTGCAGGTAGGCATCCTATCTCTAATCCATTCTCTTCTGCCAGGAGGCAGGAGAAAGCAGTTGATAAAGACACGATTTGGAATCAGACACCTCGGTTTGCATTAAAGTTCTACCAAGAAGTGGGAAGTTCCCAATCCTTCTGCATTGCAGTTTCTTCCTCTGCAAATGGAGATAAAAGAGTACCTAAGTCATAGCATGAATGTGAGGATTAGATGGGATCATCCACAAAAACAGTTTAGAGAAATACCTGGTCCATAGGTGCTCATAATTAACATCAGTTATCTATTTATCTATTTATTTAGAGACAGGGTCTCACTCTAACACCCAGGCTGGAGTGCAGTGGTGCAATCTCCACTCACTGCAATCTCCGCCTCCCAGGCTCAAGTGATTATCCTGTCTCTGCCTCCCAAGTAGCTGGGATTACAGGCATACACCAACATGCTAAGTAGAGATGGGGTTTCACTACGTTGGCCAGGCTGGTCTCAAACTCCTGACCTCAAGTGATCCACCCGCCTTGGCCTTCTAAAGTGCTAGGATTACAGGCGTGAGCTACTGCACCTGGCCAACACAGCTATCTTTACATATTGAATGGAAAACAAAAAAGAACTACCTATATATGAATAATGGCTGAAGGATATAAAATATTGACACACCATTACACACCTGCACACTTGTGTGTGCATACACACACACACACACTGCAGATGCAAAGCTATTATTTTAGTTGAGAAACTTGTTAAAAAATAAACCCAAACTTCCCCAAAGAGTGACTCTTCTTTCTGCTTTTCCAACTTTCATTGCGGTTACTTTACATTGGTCCTGGTCACTTCAGGTTGCTGATCACAATGGATGGGTCAACTCACCAATTTGCGGATTTCACATTCTAAATTCTGAATACAGTCCAGTTTCCTCTTGCGGCAGCGCTGGGCCGCGATGCGGTTCTTGCTGCGCCGTCGGACATCATGAATGAACTCTAACTGTTCTGAGGTTAGCTTGTGCATCTTAATCATCATCTGGAAATCGTTCCTTGGAAGATCCGTGATCTGATCTACAGGAAAAGGAAGTTTTACCTGAAACCAAGAATAACAGAAAATGATTATGGCAGCTGGATTTTAATTCTGGCAGGTGGAAGATCAAATAAAACCTCCTTTTTACGATGACCAAGTAATATGCAAACTACTGAAAGCAAGCAGTGATTATTTATTTCCTGTTTAAAGACAAATAAGATGTAATAATACCTGGGTAATCAAACAGAATAAGAACACATACATGGTAATGTTATTGTTTCTGAGATTTTTGAAGCAAAGGGCTTGAATAATATTGGAAAATGTATCATTTTGCATTGATGTAGCACTTTTGTAAGAAGGATTCTAGTTAGTTGAAATGTACTTCTATAAGACCTACAGCCTAACTCAATAAAACGACATTTATAGGGAGATATCACATAAGAACATATCTAAAGCACCTGAATGAAGAGAGCCCCACATATCTTGAAGATGTTGGAGACACGAAAAAAACAGTGTGATTCTTAGTTGCAATAGCATACGGTATAGGAGGAGGTAACTTGGACAGCCTTCACCATCATGTACTAGGAGTCAGCAAAAATGGCTTTCATCCTTCTCACCAGACATGAGACCTTAGGCAAGCTACTCCACCTCTCTGAAATTCAATTTCCTCACCTAAAATATAGGGCATTTAAAAATAGCCATACAGTGCTACACAGGTGTTTGGAATTTTGGCAGGCTTTATTTTCCAGTTTTCCAATGTAATGTTGACATTCCTTTGTCAAGAGGTGGGATGCATGTTCCTGCCTTTTGGTCAATACAATGCAGCCACAGTATAGTTTCTAGGCTAGGTCATAAAAGGCATTGCAGCTTTCCCTTAGGCCTATTAGAATGCTGGCTAGGGAGAAAATCAGCTGCTATGCCTTGAGGACATTCAAGCAGCTCTGTGGAGAGGGGCTGATGCCTCTAGCCAGCAACCAGTATCACCTTGCCAGTCATCTGAACAAGTCACCCTGGAAACAGATTCTCTAGTCCCAACCTTCAGCTGAGTGCAGCATCAGTCAACATCTGACTTCATCTTATTAGAGATCTCCAGCCAAAACGGCTCAAGTGGGCCATTCCTGAATTCCTGACTCACATTCACATTTCTCAGAGAAACTGTGAGAGGTGTTAAGTGATTACTGTTCTTTTAGGCCATTATGTTTTGGGGTGATTTATGAGGCAACAATAGACATCAGATGCAGGTACTGATCAGCAAAATTCCAATTCTTGACAAATCGAGGCAAAGAAGCATTATCTAAAGAGAGGACAGCAGTCTCTGAAGAGACCAGCCTGAAGGATGGGTCTGCGTCCTTGCTATGTTGTTAAATGATTGTTTATATTTCCTTTTTTTTTTCTTTGAGATAGGGTCTTGCTCTGTTACCCAGGCTGGAGTGGAGTGGTACAATCACAGCTCACTGTAGCCTTGACTTCCTAGGCTCAAGCAATCCTCTTGCCTCAGCCTCCTGAGTAGCTGGGACCACAGGCACATACCACCATGGCTGGTTAATTAAAATTTTTCTTTTTTTTTTTTTTTGGTAGAGATGAGGTCTTGCACCAGAGAGAAGAAAAAAAAAAGAAAAGAGATGAGGTCTTGCTTTGTGTCCAGGCCGGTTTCAAACTCCTGGGCTCAAGTGACCCTCCTGTCTTGGTCTCTCAAAGCATTGGGATTACATGTGGGAGCCACTATTCCTGGCCTGAAATATTTCTTTTCTTTTTTCTTTTGAGATGGAGTCTCACTCTGCTGCCCAGGCTGGAGTACAGTGGTATGATCTTGACCCACTGCAAATTTCCCCTCCCTGGTTCAAGTGATTTTCCTGCCTCAGCCTCCCGATTACAGGCATGCACTGTCATGTCCACCTAATTTATATTTTCAGTAGAGATGGGTTTCGCCATGTTGGCTAGGCTGGTCTCAAACTCCTGGTCTCAAGTGATTCTCCTGCCTTGGCCTCCCAAAATGCTGGGATCACAGGGGTGAGCCACTGTGCCTGGCCTGAAATATTTCTTAAGAAGAACAAAGAGTGAAAAAGTGCATGAAAAAGTCCCAAGTACGGAAGGTGAGAAGCAAACCACTGCTCTATCTCAAGAGACTCCTTGGCATCCGTGAGGTGATGTAGGCTTGCACCTTTGAGCAGTTTGTTTCTCCCCTTTCCGAGGCTCTTGGGGATTCAGTGGCTTCTGGGTTCAGTCTGGTCCTGCTTCAGAAGCTCCTAGAATAAAAAGGTTGTGTGCTGCCAGGCTGAGACAACGTGTGGGTTAGCTCAGACTGCTTCATTCTTGTTTACATTCGCATCTGCTTTGGATGAGCCAGCAGATGGCGCTACAAACCTAAACATCCGTCAAGTGCTAGCCCAGCCCTGTCTCATACAAACAACACGAGCCACACTGATTTTAAATTTTCCGGTAACCACATTAAAAGAAGTAAAAAGAAACAGGTCACTGGGCACTGTGGCTCACACCTGTAATCCCAGCACTTTGGGAGGCTGAGGCGGGTGGATCACGTGAGGTCAGGAGTTCAAGACCAGCCTAACATGGAGAAACCCCATCTCTACTAAAAATACAAAAATGAGTTGGGCATGGTGGCGTGCACCTGTAATCTCAGCTACTCCAGAGGCTGAAGCAGAAGAATCGCTTGAACCCAGGAGGCAGAAATTGCAGTGAGCCGAGCTTGTGCCATTGCACTCCAGACTCAGCAACAAGAGCAAAACTCCACCTAAAAAACAAAAATAAAAACAGAAAACCCCCTGAAAAGCAGGCGAAACAAGTTTGAGTACTATATGTTATTTAACTCAATAGATAAAATATTTCCAACATGTAGCTAATATAACAAAATTATTGAGATAGTTTGCAGCTCTTTTGTGCTAAATATTCCAAATCCAAAGCACATTTTATCCTTACAGCACGTTGTAATTCAGACTAGCTGCTTTCAGGGGCTCAACAGCCACGTGTAGCATGTGGCAAATGGATTGGACAGTGCCGGTCTAGGAGACAGAATAAATGGACTCAGTGAATCCCAGCAGCCAGAAAAACACACAGGTCTGAGCAGAACTGACCAAAATGCTGTTGGGTGAGGAAACCAACCCCTCTATAGTGTTCAGATGCTGTAGGGTTAAGTTTGTGTTCTTCAAGGGAGTGAGGATGAAGACATTTGATCCTGAGCTTAGGTTTCTCTGTGGTTGCATCATTTGCAGGCAGACACAAGTCCTGATTGCCAGCACTTGTGGCTGGTCAATCCCTGTGCACAAAGGCAAATGAACGAAATCATTTGACTTTTCTGTTGTTGGTGCAAGCTCTTTGTCAGGTTCCATCACAGCTCTGAGCTTGTTCTGTATGGTATTGGCTGAAGGTTCCCAGTGGGTTCTCTGATTTGACTTCAACCTGGTGAGCTCTGTCCCATGACACCTGTAAAATTTTGGTCCAAGAAAGCAAAATTGCAGTAGGGCCCATGACACCACTGTCAGCTTGGCCCTACTCCAACTGCTAAAGAGAGGCAGCCAGGACAAACAGCTCCTTGTTATGGGCTCGGGAAAGGCCTTTGTCCATGGTGCTGTGTTTGCACAGGGCTTCTGATGATATGAAAGAATGTTTGATCTCCCTTTTATACCCGTTGGATAACAAACAGACACTCAGATCCTGCACGGTGCCTCCGGAACACAGAGGTCTGTCTGTTGGGAGATGCGGATGTTCCAACACAGCAGAAGTGGTGACGCTTTGGGGGCTTGTGGAGTTTTCCCTCTGCTGACAACAAAGCCATTCTGCTTCTGCTCTAAATGTGTTTACTTACTCTCAGAAAGAAGATATCCCTATAGTTCAGGCCACAGGGAACGTCAAAAGGACTTCTACACCAAGAGCTACTGTATTTAAATCATTCAGACAGTGACTATAAAACACCAGGGGAACAGGAGGGAGAGTTGCCAGGAAAAAGGAAAATTAACAATGCTAGTTTCAAAGTCCTGGAGGCAAAAGGCCATATGATATTTCAGCAGAGCTGCTGCAACTCAAGCTGCTTTTTCAAGTGGGTCAGAGGAAAAGGTAATAGTCAACTATAGACTTTCTTACAGGTGAAATAAAATCTAAACTCACTCTTGTTTCTCTTTACAAGTCTCTGTTCCCCCTCTAGCAAGGGAGGACTTATGTTCACTAACATGCAGGGGTCTCGGAGGTGTTCTTGGACAGGCATGGGGGCAGGGCGGGGCGGGGGGACAACTTGACCACATCCATGTGTTTTTTTCCTGAATAGTAATTTCCAAGCCAGGGACATTTTCTCTGGAAATAAGGAGCAGCCACCAACTCTGATCCCATGGAGGATATGCCTCTCCAGGCTCTCAGCACTCAAACATTCCTCAAATGGGGCTGAGAAGTCAGAGAAGGACAGCAGGCCTTGGAAAGTGGGAACACATCAAGAAGGTTGCCGCCCAGCTCTTTTCCTTCTAGAGAATTATTCTGAGCCAAACAGGCCCAGTTGGGCTTAACATCTTACTGACCGTCCCTCCACACACTCCTCCAGGATCTCACTTTGCAGCAGTGGCTTGGTTTCCTATATAGTCCCAGTGTCCAACGTGACGAGGTGAAGAGTCCTGTGAACTGTCACCATCACCTCTAGTTATACTCAGTTACCCACATGCAGCTCCGGGCACACAGGCTGCATATAAGGGGAAGGGCACGTGGGATTCGTGGGTGCCACTTTCTCTTTAGCCAGGGGTCCATTACTTTGGTTTTCAGTAGAGACTTGGAGAGTCATGGAAGCCACTGAATCAGCAGGCCAAGGGCCAAACAGGGCACCACAGACCGGTGCCACAGTTGGCACAATAAGCTGCTGCTTTTATTCAGCCCAGCAAAGTGCTGACTCTTCTCCCCTCTGGAACACAACAGGAGAAGCAGGACTTGAGGTGAAGTTTTAGTACAGTACCTGCCCTGGCCTGCTAAGTATGGCTACAGGAGGGTTAGTTCTTCTGCATACTCCACTTCTTTTTCATTTTTTTTTCTTTTAGAGAGGGTCTCGCTCTGTTGCCTAGGCTGGTCTCAAA